ACAAGGGGGGGGCCTTTGGCCGCTCACGCACCAAGTGAAAATCTCACCACCCAACTCCACAATGTCACCAGTCAAGCAGAAATATCACCACCACACTAAGAATCTCACCACCTCAGAAAAAACATCACCACCTCAGAAAAAACATCACCACCTCAGAAAAAACATCACCACCACACAAAAATTATCACCATGGCACTCAGAATCTCACCACCTCAGAAAAAAACTTCACCACCACAGAGCTCACCTATCACAAACACATAAACACCCACCACTCACAACACTCGTCACCTCAGTTTATCACCACTCAACCTTTCACCTATCACCAGTACAATACAGATATCACTAACATATCAAAACTCACCATCCAAACTTCAAATCTCACTGCCCAGTACTGAATTCTCACCACCACAGCAAACAATTGAATGAATCAAACAAACAAACAGACTATTGAACGTAAGCCTCACCTCAGTACCCTCCTTCCATCTTACTCAATCTCATTCTCACCAATACAACCCACCTACCTCACCTACTCAATAACTACAATGTAGTTCCACCATACCAAAGCCCTCAAATGGACACACCCAGCAACGATTTCGTATTTCCAGTACCCAACATCATTGAAATCCATCATAAAGATCAACGCAAGATGGATCAATATATTGAAGCGTTTCCTGCCACTCAACACGGCTATTGCATCCGGATTGGTCACTCAAATAGTAGTTGTGCACTTTCTCACTATGAGTGCTACCAATCAAGTTATCCACCTGGCGGACCAGCAGCTGTAGGCACCACCAAATCAGTACGTATAGAATGCCCATTCAAGATCGATACCCGATATCTGTCCGCTAGCAACTCGTGGCTCCTCATTTATGCTCACCTTGGACACAACCACCCGCCGGACTTCAATGTCAAGCCTCGCAAGAAGCACAAGGACCCTAAAGACAAACATATACTAGCTCCCGGAGTCACGCTCAACAATGACGACGACGACAGGCTCACAGAGGCCCATCCATGCGACATCATTGTTCAACATCTTATATCCCCATCATCGGTACCCAATCATCTCACCAAGCTTCCTCCTCACATTGGACCCACCACCAAGTCCACACTCACCAACCAAAAGGCCAACAGCAAGACCAAAGAACCAGCATCACATCATTATCAACCTCAACCTCCTTCTCACAACATCAAACACCGACTCCAATCACCAGACTTGTTAGATTTGACTATGTCAAGGGTCACAGACCGGCTCCGAGCTATGACCCCACGTTGCCAGCAGGATGCCCTCCTCAAGATCCAATCAATTATTACCCAAGCACTACCGCCTATGGTCTCCTTCAAACCACACGAACATGTAAGATTAAGATTTCTCATAATGCATACCCAACAGCTTATGCTTACATCGTAATGGTGCACATACGATATGCAGGACTCAAACTGCAAGCCTGAATTGTTCGATCCTACAATGGAAGCAGAACTCGTCCACAATGAGGACGCAAACGTAGAATCGGTAAGCTGTCCCATATGTAACCTCTACATGCGAACAAACCTGACAAAGCTCTGCGACGTTCTCAGCTTAACAAACTCATTGACGACTTTGATCAGTTCTACAAAGGGCCTGCGAAAGTGTCCAACTCTACTTTCAACTTCGAGGATCTAATCCTCTCTCAGCCAACGGACAACTCTACAGTTCCAATTGATACCACAACATCCAACCCATGCAGAGAACAACCGATTCCTACACCTACAAACGCTGACAACCTTCACGCTCACCATCCACCAACGCCGCCGTTCCCCATCTCCCCCACATCACTGCCACCTTGCGCTCTGGACTGTCAACGCGTCACTTGTAAACGCACCCGCAAGGCAGGCATACTTCAGACAATACCGGAACCGCTTCGAAATATATAGCGGTTTTGAAGCAATTTTGAAGCCCTTCAAGCCTCCGCTACATCCCTCAAATTGTATAGCAGAGGATGCGCATCGAAACCCAGGGCCAAATTTTTCCACAGCGGAGCCACCGCTGCAAAACCCAGGCCCGGGCGTGTTGCTCCGCCATATATCAAAGCAAAACAAACAGGCAGGCTGGGATTTGAGAACCCTTCCACCCATCTGAATGTACATACTTTTTTGGAAACGATTGTTCCGATCGGAATGGTCCAAACGTAACAAGGAGTAGCCTAGGAGATAAACAAAAAGAGAAAACGAAGTAAAGGAAGAAAAAAACAGATTAAGTAATCGATTCAGTTAGAAATCAGGAAGTGGTTAGAAGACTGAGATGATAAAAACAAAAGAGGGACTCACAGTAGGTCTTGTTAGGGCTGGGATCGATTGCAATGAGTTGGGTATAAAAGGGAAGCAGTTGTATCGAATTGCGTTCGTTGTTGTATCGTAGCATATCTAGAGAGCCGTATCGTAGAAATAGAAGTAGTGATTAGAATCTTTTTCTTTTTCTTTTCCTTATCAACACAAATCGTATTAGGAAAGGAAGTGGGAGATTAAGTTGAAGACTTCCTTTTTTTTTTGGGTTCCCTCTTTATCCCACTGCAAAAATAATGTGTTTTTCCATGGCAAAAAATGATTGATTCTAGCATTTAAAATTCCTTGCTTGATATTGGCCCAAAAAATCTGAAACAATCTGGTAAGGCAAAATGTGCTATTTTCTTCCAGTTGGGAGATTTTGGTCATTGTAAAAAAATTCTAGCACTCAGTTTGGTGAATGTCCACATTTTTGTGGAACACCCCATAAATATGCAGCACCAAAGCA